TTATTATATAACAAATATTTTTTATGGATTAAAGATAAATGACTTATTTGAGCAGTATGAAATGCCACATGTTGACTAAACGTAATAGTAATTAATTTTTTTAAATGTATTTTTTCATATATTATTTATTTAAACTTGTGTGTTAAAAATTTATTTATTTCGACCATGAAATTGATGTTATTAAGTAATCACTACAAGAAAAATGAGCTTTTACAACACTTAAAAGGCATCATTCATTCTTAAATGTTGCTAAAGGGGGTCTATTGCAACGTTTGGGCGAGTGAATGTTGCTAGAGAGGTCTATGGCAACATTTTCTAAATTTTTGCAACGTTCATTGAACGTTTTGCAATGTTTTTTTATCGTTACGAAAAGTCTCACTTTTTGCAACGTTTAAAAAAAGTCACAAAAATTATTTTTCATAATGTTTTTTAAACATTGCTAAAGGTTAAATTTTCGCAACGTTTAATAGACGTTGTGAAAAGTGAAGCCCGTTATTTAGCCCAACGCCAGCCCTAATCTAGTCTCCGTCTCTCTTTTCTCACTCTTTCATTCAAATCCACCATTTGCTTCCACTACCACGAAGGCAGTCACCGACGAGTGAGGCATCCACGTGTTGCGGGGAGTTGGGCGGCGAGGAGGAGCTGGAAGGAGAATTGAGTGTCACTCTCGGCAATGATTACGATTATGATGCTGCAAGGAATGCCTCCGCGGAGGAGGCGATCTGGAAGGGTACGAAATCGATACTTGCTAGCGCATCTCCAACTCCAGCTCAGTGGTTCTGCCTCATTTGTGAATTTTTTTTTTATACAAGTCAAAGCCGTAATCGAGCAAGCCGACGAAGCCCACCGACTCTTTTCCGACACCAACCCTCTAGCCAACCTCATCAATCTGTAAGCTCTAACCCATTATTCATTCTGAATGTTTGTATAGCTATTGTTTTTATTTAGAAATTTGTCCTTAGTTTATTTTACTTTGTCATCTGTGATTATCGTAGAGTATGCATTCGTGCTGTTTTGTATAACGGTTTAGCTTTAGTTAAAGGAGGCTCAATATGCTTGGAGTGGTGTATATTTAGGCCATGTATTGTGCTCATAATTGTTTCCTAAATACATTTGCACAGATGACGAATTTCCTCATTATCATGAAGGAATTAATTTTCAGTGTGAACTGAGAAGGTTAAAATATAAATAAGGGAAATGGAAAAGATGGAGCTTTTTTCCATATGGTTTCTGTGGGAATCAAGAGAGGAGTGGCTAAAAGAGTGAAACTAAGTTGTAAATTTATGATCTATTTTTTCTTGTTCTTTTGCACATAAGTGCACACTGATACAGACAAACATACCAAAAATAACTAAATTTAGCTTCTATTGTAGTGTCAGGAAAAAAATGAAGGGAAAATCATGTATTTCCTCACTTTACACTTCTTGTTTTCTTCACAGAGTTCACAAGTTAAATGGAGAATTCGGGCATCTTCTGTTCTTTTTGAGTCATTCGCTTGAGACCTACATCATTAGTACGTCTAGGTAGTCATTGCAAATGGTTGTCTTCGGCTAGAAGTTTCATAATCCTTTAGTGCTTTGATATTCGTTGTCTGCACGTGTTTATTCGTTTTATCCTGGGCGTTTTTTATTTGTTATATGTATTATTGTAGTAATTTTTAAATGTTGTTTTCTTATGAATAAATAAACGTTGTGTTAATATGGGAATAGGGACTCTGCTTCCAGCACTAGTAAGATGACTCCTGAGGAGAGGAGGGAGCAACAGAAGAATGAGAAGGCATTGCATGCTAGTAGTCTTCATGTTCCTCACAAGCACATATTTTTTTTTATTGGATATTATTTTAACTTTCTGTTGTTGAGTATAAGTTATGTAATTCTACTTTTCCAGGCCACCATGGAATGCTAAAATGTCTGTAGAAGAGCTTGACGCCAATGAAAGACAAGCTTTTCTATCTTGGCGCCGAAGCCTTGCTAGGTCAGATTCTCTGACATAAATAATTGGTATTTCTGGAATGAAATCACAATTGTATCTATGCACTTTGGTAACTAGTTGCATATATGGTTACATTTTTTATTTATTTTTGTTTTTTATTCTCTCTCTCTTTCTTTTTATTGGAATGAACGAATAATTTCATCTTTGGTCAATTGGGGTGCTACATGTGTTGTGCATGATAACAAATGGGAGTTGTATATCATAAATAATTTCTTTTAGTGTAATGTGGTAATCTGTTTTGTTTTTATTTTTCATTTAACTATAAATACTTTGTGTGTTTCATTGTAGACTTGAGGAGAACGAGAAGTTGGTCCTTACTCCATTTGAAAAGAACCTAGATATATGGAGACAGCTTTGGAGGGTAGTTGAACGCAGTGATCTGGTGAGATAACAATTTCTCCAAGTTTATTACCTGTGAAGAGGAAGTATTTCATCAGTTAGATCAGCATATCAGATCTTAACTGGACTTAGTTTCGTAGTTTGTTCATTTTGTTATAGAATTCTGGATGACAGTGCAAATTTGACGGTGAAGTAATATACAAATGGGAACCAGCCTGTAAGCTCGATGATCAAACTGGTTTTAACCCAAAATGTGATAGTTAATCTATGGCCGTCCAAGTAAGAATGAACCAATTTTGTATCTTGTGATTGGTTCTACATGAAAGATATGATACCATGAAGCACTAATGATGCAACTTTGGATTAAGAAAAAGATTTTGAACTCGATCTACTAATATGAAAAAAGATTGGCACTTGTTATTCCCTGAAAAATTTCTCTTGATCTCTATCATTTTCCTTTCAAGCTCAATATCTATTCTCTTACAAGTGTTTGGCAAACTATGACAGCAGAATAAGACTCCTACTTTATTGGAAAATGACTTCAGAATAAGACATTGCTCAGATGTGCCTTAAAGATAAAATGATCTTGTGTTAGTATTAACTTTAGGGAATTCATATTAAACAGGTTCAACCAGCTACATTACTGAAACTTTATGACTTAATGTTGCTCGTAGTTGATGTTAGTTACTAAGATGATGATGTTCAATCCTTCACCGACAAATTAAGCTTTTAGGTGACACCCATTTATACAAATTGTCTACATCAAATATAAGGGACGAGTTTACAAATATTGTCTGCAGTGATGAATATGTTAGGAAAATTGACTGAAACTTAAACTTAACCATTGTGGATATATAACTGAAACTTAAAATTGAGAAAAGAAGAAGGATATTTGATAACGAGAGGGACATTTATTAACAAAGATAGAGAGTGACTGAGAAGAAAAGAAAGAAAAGAAGGCTAGTAAAGGGTTTGGAGAAGTATTAATGGCAAAAATTGTGTGGTGGCAGAGGCAGATGCTTATATTCAAGTAGCTGTGCCTGTATAGGTTCAATAAAGGAGGAAGGTGAGAGTAGTGTTAAATAAATTGGTAGGTGTATCAAATTTATAATGCTTGAGATACACATTTCTACTTCTCTCTTATCTTGAATCAATTTCAACAGTGTCATTGTTAGATATAAATCCCATGCAGGTAATCATGATTTTGAATTTAGGATTGTGTGCTCCGTTTAATTGTTCTGCACCCACCTCCACTTAAGTATTCTTCTGCTATCTGTGTGTGTATCAGAGAGAGAGAAAGAGAGTAGGGATTGTCAAGAACTTATTAGAAGCCATTTTCTTGATTTGTTAGCTATATTCATATCTAGCATCCTATTTTTCCGTTTAGCGAAGATGGAAGTTAATTTTGTTAGCTATAGTCTATTGTGGTCCTTTTGTAGTATGCTAAATGATAATGTAGCAAGCCTATATAGGAAAAGGTGGATCTACTTTTGATTGTGAAAGAATTTTGCGGATTGTTATCATTTTGAAGTTCTTGTTCACTACTCAGTTGATGTATGATATGAAATTTTTAATTACTCTTCTTTATTGGATAGACTTTAAACATTTCATATGTAGTCTATGCAACAAATTAAGGTGAAATCA